CGTGTGCATTGGGGGTGCATTGGGGGGGCGTGTGCATTGGGGGGTGATATACGGTGAAAATAATTGTGTGCAGGTATCTCTTGCTTTTTGAAAGTTTCCACTCTGGCAGTTTGCACTGGGGAAGAGTTCTGAAAAGGATTTTCGCCTTTAGGAAATAAGGCAACAAGCTAAAATAGTGTTCAGCGTTGATTGTGCAGTGAGCCGTCACAGAGGCAGAGCGCACCTCAAGCAGGGAGAGCGCCACTGCCCAGCTCCTTCCCGGAATGACGCTGGGCATCCAGGCATCAATCCGCTGGAGCTTTGGACTGTGTGGGCATCTGTGCTTTATCTCAATGTATTTCGTGCATCCGTTAGTGAGATGTGTCATAAGGTATTAGAAAAGCTTAAGAGAGGTTATTTTGGGGGTCTGGGAATGCTCGCCAATTTTTCCATATAAATTAACGGTAATTGCTTTTTCACTTTATGCCATTTCAGCTTCCAGGAGCTTTCCTAGGAAGGCTCTATTTTCAGATAGCAGGGGAACCTGTGTATCACATACAATGTATCATAGAATGCATATTATATGGTATTTAATGAATGATAATGTAAGATGCATTTGAGGTGTGTTTGTATCAGCAAGTGGTAAGACTCCACTGCTGTGGGAAAAAAGAAAAGGTGAGGGGCGAGGGAGCTAACAGGGCAGGAGAAATCATGCTGATATTACAGGGCATGGTCAGGGAAGGCTTCTCTGAGATGGTGACAGCTGAGCAGAGACCTCAAAGAAGTGGAGTGGTGAGCCACATGAATGGCTGAGGAACAGCATTCCAGACACAGGGAACAGCGAGTGTGAGGGCCCTGAGGCTGGAGCTGGACCAGTGAGTCTGAGTGACAGTGAGATTGTGGCCAAGTGAAGAAGGAAGGAGCAGAGGTGAGGAGGTGAGGTCCGAGAAGTAGTGGGGGCCAGATATGACCTTGTAAACCACTATTAGGGCTCTGGCTTTTTACTGGGGCTATAGGGTCACTCTTCTAAAA